AAGATAAAATGTTCTGTGGATAGATGGCAGTGATTGTACAATGTGAATGTACTTAATGCCACTGAATTGCACACTTCAATTGTTAAAATGATTTTAAAAATTAAACATTCAGGTATGATTTTAAAAAAAACACTGTATGGTTCCACTTGTATGAGGGAGTCAAACTCATAGAAACAAAAAGCAGAATGGTGGCTGCCAGGGACAGGAGGAGGAGCAAGTGCGGAATTGTTTAAGGGATACAGAATTTCAGTTTTGCAAACTGAAAAGGTCTGCATATTGGTTGCAACAATTGAACGGTACACTTAGAAATGGTTAAAATGGTAATTTTTTTGAGACAGAGTCTTGCTCTATCACCCACGCTGGAGTGCAGTAGCGCGATCTTGGCTCACTGCAACCTCCCAGCTTTGAGCAATTCTCCTCCCTCAATCTCCCAAGTAGCTGGGATTAGAGGTACCCGCCACCACGCTTGGCTAATTTTTTATTTTCAGTAGAGAAGAGGTTTCATCATGTTGGTCAGCCTGGTCTTGAACTCCTGGCCTCAAGTGATCCGCCCGCCTCAGCCTCCCAAAGCACTGGGATTATAGCTATGAGCCACCGCACCTGGCCTAAAATGGTAGATTTTGTTAAGTGTATTTATTTATATATTTTTTGAGATGGAGTTTCACTGTTGTTGCCCAGGCTGGAGTGCAATAGCGCGATCTCAGCTCACTGCAACCTCTGCCTTTCAGGTTTAAGCGATTCTCCTCCCAGTTTCCCAAGTAGCTGGGATTACAGGCATGTGCCACCACACCCAGCTAATTTTGTATTTCTAGTAGAGACGGGGTTTCTCCATGTTAGTCAGGCTGGTCTTGAACTCCCAACCTCAGATGACCCAGTTGCTTCGGGCTCCCAAAGTGCTGGGATTACAGGCATGAGCCACCGCACCCAGCCATGTTATGTGTATTTTACTACAGTTTTTAAAAACATGAATACAGAATACAGAAGATACACATGGAAGATTTGCACACACACACACGGAATTTGTTTTGTCTTCAGAGTTCTCTTGAGGAAGGAGTGGGAGAAGTGCATTTAGTTTGCTGATGGTACCACCTGTGTGCCTGCTGTAACACCAAATGGTTCCTCCAAAAGAAAATTACTGATTATCCTAAGTGAAATGACAAAAGCTTTTGAAATTTATCAGTTCTGGAACTGAATCTAAAAAACTTGGGCTAGTTTTCTTCTCCTATAAACTACTGATACATGACGTTTTCCATTTTAATAGGTTGAACTCATTCCAAACCAAGAAAAGGAACTGGACACTACAAGAACTCACAGAATACGATCAAGCCACTTTTGCCTCAAGCAAACACAAACATCAAAGAACTTCATTGATCAACTTTATAAAAAATACTTTAACTTGTAAACCCTACTTTTCATCCAATTTGGTCTGAATTCTGGGAGTGGGGGTGATGCAATAGGTCATACAAACTGGGACTCCAAGAAAAGATTTTTAAAACCCCATTAAGTTTTGTTCCTTACTCTAGAAGGGTCCCTATGTCTAACTTTCAGTTGTTTCATCTACAATACTATCATCCTCCTTTAAATTCAAACCCAGCTGAGTATCAATACATGGTTGCTATGAATGTAGCAACTATCATTTCACCATGTGTCACTCTCTTCCTACTTAAGAGATTTACTTACTTGGTCAACTTATGGCTTTTCATTGCTGTGAGAAATTCTCTGACAGTCTCAGGACTCTGGTGTCTGCATGGTGATTTTGATATGTATTTTAACGTCTGGGAAAAAAAAAAGAAAAAAGCCAAGCATAAGACAAAGAACCCTGAATGAGAAAAAGGAAACGCAATGGCTATAATTAAAATTCTAAAATTTTGTTTTAAAAATCCTGTACAGGCCAGGCGTGGTGGCTCACACCTGTAATCCCAGCACTTTGAGAGGCCAAGGTGGCCGGATCACCTGAGGTCAGGGGTTCGAGACCAGCCTGGCCAACATGGTGAAACGCCATCTCTACTAAAAAAACAAAGAAAAAGCTGGGTATAGTGGAAAAAAAGCTGGGTGTGATGGTGCACGCCTGTAATACCGGATACTACAGAGGCCCAGGCAGGAGAATCACTCGAACCCAGGGGGCAGAGGTTGCAATGAGCCGAGATCACACCACAGCACTCCAGCCTGGGTGACAGAATGAGACTCTGTCTCAAAAAAAAAAAAAAAAAAAAAAAAAAAAATCCCGTATAAAACAAAGAGGCGTTCAGGAGAACCAAGCTTCACGCAATATGAATTCCTGAAAGAGAAAATCAGTAGCTAGAACAGGAAGAATAAGTAATGAAATTTTAGAAGAAAACTCTTCTGATCTTAAAAAAAAAAAACTCAATCTGACAATTATGTTATATTTCGGACAATTTTTTTAAAGAGGGGGATCCCAAAGAATAAAATAAATTGCCATAAGTCTACATGGATATATACTAATGAATAAGTAAATGAGTAAGAAGAGACAACTTTTTCTCATGGAAGAATTCTAACTCATATGAGCTGGGTACAGTGGTGCACACCTGTAATCCCAGCACTATGGGAGGCCAAGGCAGGAAGATCACTTGAGCCCAGGAGTTTGAGACCAGACTGAAGTAACACAACAAAATCTTGTCTCTTAAAAACATATATATATAATTCTAACTAATAAGCATAGAGGAATGAGAACATTTTTAAAATCACTCTCAGGCAACCGTACCATAGTCATAATTACTGCAGAAAAGATCCACCAATGAATGCTAAAATTGATGATTAAAAGCTTAAGGAAGCGTAGGCTGTTTTCCTAGCCTCAAAGCATCTCCCACAAAATATTTTTTAATTACTGTGGTGGTTTTAACACACATACACAAATTCTTTGATATCCCTCCCTTTAAGAGGTGAACCTTAATCTCCCCCTTCCCCTTGATTATGGGCTGAACTTGGTGAATCCTTTCTAACATAATATTGAAATGAAGAAACAGTGGTTTTACAGTGGACAATCCAGGCAGATACTATCTTAACCGAATGACCAAAGTTAACAATATCAGCCATAAGAAACATCGACATCAGCCGGGCGCGGTGGCTCATGCCTGTAATCCCAGCACTTTGGGAGGCAGAGGCAGGCAGATCACGAGGTCAGGAGACCAAGACCATCCTGGCTAACATGGTGAAACCCCGTTTCTACTAAAAAAAAATACAAAAAATTAGACGGGCATGGTGGCGGGCACCTGTAGTCCCAGCTACTCGGGAAGCTGAGGCAGGAAAATGGTGTGAACCCAGGAGGCGAAGGTTGTGGTGAGCCGAAATTGCGCCACTGCACTCCAGCCTGGGCAACAGAGTGAGACTCCGTCCCTCCAAAAAAATAAATAAATAAATAAAAAGAAACATCGATATCATGTACCCTGAGATATCATGACATGAGAAGGGGAGATCACCTCTGTGGTACTCTTCCTCAAAAGCCATAGGTTCTGTGTAATCGTAAGAAAATATCAGACAATCACAAATCAAGGGATGTTCTATAAAATACTTGACCAGCCCTTCACAAGTGTCAAAGAAGACAAAGGAAGAGTAAGGACACAGAACAAATGACATGATGGGGACATGTTAACTAAATACAAAATGGTATCCTGAACTGAATCCTGGAATCCAGAAGATAGCAGCGGGAAAACAGGGTATTCAAATAAAATTTTAGCTTAGTTTATTTAATAGTATGTACCAATGTTAATTTCTTGGTTTTGGTCACTCTAACATGGTTATGTAGGATATTAACATCAGAGAAAACTATGGGAAGGGTACATGAAAACTCCCAGCACTGTCTCTACAACTTTTATGTAAGAGAAGAATGGCTGGGCATGGTGGCTCACACCTATAATTCAAGAACTTTGGGAGCCTGAGATCGGTGGATCACCTGAGGTCAGGAGTTCGATACCAGTCTGACCAATACGGAGAAACCCCTTCTCTACTAAAAATACAAAATTAGCCAGGCGAGGTCGTACATGCCTGTAATCCCAGCTACTCAGAAGTCTGAGGCAGGACAATCGCTTAAACCTGGGAGGCAGAGGCTGTGGTGAGCCGAGATCGCACCATTGCACTCCAGCCTGGGCAACAAGAGTGAGACTCTGTCTCCAAAAAAAAAGAAAAATGATTTCAAAATAAAGTTTTTTTTTTTTTTAATTGATTTGCAATGGTCTGATATTTTCTCATGATTACACAGAATTTGTGGCTTTTGAGGAAGAATACAGATACAATTTGGGAGGAATTATAATTACATATTTTGGGAGGAATCTGAAACTTTACAAAATAAACAATGGCCTTAAGTGTCTTAAGTCCCTACCACTTTGGAAAGATGCGGTGATAAGATCGCTTGAGCCCAAGGGTTCGAGACCACCCTGGACAACAACAAAAAAAATTAGCCAGGCATGACAGTGCTTGCCCATAGTCCCAGCTACTTGGGAAGCTGAGCTGGGAGCACCACTTGAGCCTAGGAGGTTGAAGCTGCAGTGAGCTGTGATCGCCTTTCAAGGAGAAGTAAGGGCAATCTTTTACACTATTCCTTCTAACTTTGTAGCTGGCTAAACTCTACACTTGACCAAACTCCTCCCACTTTTATAAACAGAATAAAAATCAGGTTACAGTAAAACTATTCAGATCAGATAAAAGGCGATCTTGATTTCAGCAGCCAGTCATCGGCAGAATAAACTCACCTCCCTCAGTGGTACTTTAGGTAGGTCTGCCAGAAGCCCAGGCTTACTTCATAGGTGATGGTGTTCAAGTTCTGTTGTCCAGAGCTGTGTTTAATCTTTCCACTTTCTTTTTTTTTTTGAGATGGAGTCTCGCTCTGTCGCCCAGGCTGGAGTGCAGTGGCCGGATCTCAGCTCACTGCAAGCTCCGCCTCCTGGGTTTAAGCCATTCTCCTACCTCAGCCTCCCCAGTAGCTGGGACTACAGGGGCCCGCCACCTCACCTGGCTAGTTTTTTTTGTATTTTTTAGTAGAGACGGGGTTTCACCGGGTTAGCTAGGATGGTCTCGATCTCCTGACCTCGTGATCTGCCCGTCTTGGCCTCCCAAAGTGCTGGAATTACAGGCTTGAGCCACCGCGCCTGGCCTCTTTCCACTTTCTTTACGCTGTTCTTTCAGATCAGTTAGTAACTGAAACACCTAGGAGGAGATACACAAAGGATGTTTATGAATAAATTTGACAAATATATCTATCCAAGGTCAGTGGTTTTGAAGGATAAACAGGAAAGTGTAGTACTTCCTTTCACCCGCCCATCACCCAGCTTCCAACTCTTGTATTTGAGCAAATATAAGTCCCAGAGGCAGATGACATAAAAAAAAAAATGCTCTTTTATATAAGCCAAATAATCCAAATTCATTAATTTACTTAAAATTAAAATTAAATTACTTAAAATATTTCAAATATGTCCGGGCGCGGTGGCTCACGCCTGTAATCCCAGCACTTTGGGAGGCTGAGGCGGGCCTCGTCAGGGCCGAGGTCAGGAGATCAAGACCATCCTAGCTAACACGGTGAAACCCTGTGTCTACTAAAAATACAAAAAATTAGCCAGGCCTGGTGGTGGGCACCTGTAGTCCCAGCTACTCAGGAGGCTGAGGCAGGAGAATGGCATGAACCCAGGAGGCAGAGGTTGCAGTGAGCTGAGATCGCGCCACTGCACTCCAGTCTGGGCGACAGAGCAAGACTCCGTCTCAAAAAAAAAAAAAAAAAATTCAAATATTTCCGATCAATATACACATCACTAATCTCCTCTGATCTCAAATATAGACTATTTGAAAGCAAATTTTCTTAAAACAAATATTTTGTTAAAAAAGAATTCTGCTTCTCTAGTATAAAAATCTAACATAGGCCAGGCACAGTGGCTCACACCTTTAATCCCAGCACTTTGGGAGGCCAAGGCAGGCAGATCACGAGGTCAGGATATCGAGACCATCCTGGCTAATACAGGGAAACCCCGTCTCTACTAAAAATACAAAAAAAATTAGCCGGGCATGGTGGCAGGTGCCTGTAGTCCCAGCTACTTGGGAGGCTGAGGCAGGAGAATGGCGTGAACCTGGAAGGCAGAGCTTGCAGTGAGCCGAGATCATGCCACTGCACTCCAGCCTGGGCGACAGAATGAGATTCCATCTCAAAAAAAAATCTAACATAATAATTTCTTTCTGGAAAAGAAAAATTTTGAGGTAAGTGATAAAACAGAGTTTACCAAAAAAAGGGGAAGAAAAAATGCTATGGATTTTTAGAAGTAAACTCTCCCCACAAGGATAACACATACAGGCATTAGTGCTGGGGGCAGGGGGGATCTCAATCTCATTCCTGTTTTAGAGATTCTATCAGAGAAGTGAAGAAAATGCAGGCTCACACACCATTACTAGATACAATGGAACCCCTTTCGTCTGCTGTTCCTTTCAGAAATAGCGACATGAGATCAATGAAAGCAATGTTTCCCCAATGGATAAAACACCCAAACACCTAGCAAAGTCCAAACTGGACAAGGAGGCTCCTAAAAGCCAAAGGCTTGGCCAACAACCACTCAACCATTTCCTTCCTGTTCTAAGCTGCAACCACTTAACACTGAGCCTTTAGGGAGGAAAGAATATGGCCAACTCTCTGTTTATTCTACTACCTTCTCTTCTTTAGGGGGAATGTCGGAGGGGGGACGGTTACTTTCTTTTTGCTGTCTTCAACTCTGGGAGCTGTTTTTGGGGGGGGGGCACAGGGTCTCAAAGGCTGTCTCCCAGGCTGGAGTACAGTGGTGATCACTGTAACCTCAAACTCCTAGGCTCAAGGGAACCTCCCCTCTGCCTTCCAAGTAGCTAGGACCATAGTAGGTGTCTGTTACCACACCCAGCTAATTTATTTTTTAAGAGCAGGGGGTCTTGCTATGTTTCCCAGGCTGATCTCTAACTCATAGCCTCAAGCAATACTCTCCTTGGCCTTCCGAAATGCTGAGATTACAGGCGTGAGCCACCGCACTTAACCTACTACCTTCTAGACCTCCTCTGAGTCTTCCTGAGTTTAGACTCTAGCACATGGAAAATTCACGGTCAAGGTAGAAATGGTTCTTTCTACACCTGGAGCGAGCCTATCAGATGGTTTTGCTAGTGCCAAATAGGAGGCAAAAATGCTGGAATATCTCCTCTCTTACCAACCTTTTTCCTTCTTTTCCTTTCCCAAGCAACCCTACCCTAAGCCCAAAAAATTATAAATTTGTTAATTTCTACTATTCAGAAAGGTAAGTCAACTAAACTCACTTTCAAAATAATGATGTTAATACCCAAAAGACCATTTGAAGATTAAAATAACAATGTATAAAAGCATTATGAATATATAAATATATCAAGGGTACCACTATGAAAAAGCATAAATATTTTAATGTAAAATTGTGCAGAAACAGCTCTAAAATAGATGCTTCTATCCTATGACTACATCCCAAATGATTATCTAGAATCTTTGAGATTTACTGAAATTTTCCTATTCTCAGTTAGAGTCTTCCCCAGCTTCCCTGAAGTAGTACGTATAACATATTAAGTTTAGACTATTCCAAGGTCCACCAGATGGTGCCACATGTCTTGTTTTAAAGTGGAAAATTCAAATAATTTTTTTTTTTTTTAATGGAGACGGAGCCTGGTTGCGTTGCCCAGGTTGGAGTGCAGTGGTGCAATCTTGGCTCATTGCAACCTCCACTTCCTGGGTTCAAGTTATCCTCCTACTTCAGCAGGGATCCCAAGGAGCCGGGACTACAGGCACGTGCCACCCCACCTGGCTAATTTTTGTATTTTTAGTAAAGATTGGGTTTCACCATGTTGGTGTTCAGGCTGGTTTTGAACTCCTGACCTCAAACGATCCACCTGCCTCGGCCTCCCAAAATACTGTGATTATAAGCGTGAGCCATTGCAACTGGCCTGAATTCAGTCATTTCTAATCAAAATGAATTCAACAATCTTAGTTACAAAGGGCAAATTATCAGAGAGGAAAATGTAACAGTTCAATTTACCTCGTAGTTACTGAGAAGCGCAGAATTGGCATCCTTCCTGAAAAAGAAAAGTAAACTATCATCAGTCTGCGCTCACACCCCTTTCTGCGTATCAAATATCTGTAAAAGAATTCCTGTCAAGATGGGGGCCGGGCGCGGTGGCTCATGCCTGTAATCCCAGCACCTTCAGAGGCCGAGGCAGGCGGATCACCAGGTCAGGAAATCAAGATCATCCTGGCTAATCAAGACCATGGTGAAACCCCGTCTCTACTATAAATAAAAATAAATAAATAAATAAATTAGCCAGGCATGGTGGCAGGGGCCCTTAGTCCAAGCTACTCGGGAGGCTGAGGCAGGAGAATGGCATGAACCCGGGAGACGGAGCTTGCAGTGAGCCAAGATCGCGCCACTGCACTCAAGCCTGGGTGAGAGAGACAGACTCCATCTCAAAAAAAAAAAAAAAAAAAAAAAAAAAAGAATTCCTGTCAAGATGTAGTAGTCCAATTTTGGAATTTGGGGGCTACAACCTAAAACTGAAACTGAGAAATGTCTTAAGTCCACAGACTTGGGATCAAAGTGCTGTCCCATCACACAGCCATGTCCTCTCCCCATTACTAATCTGCCTCCCATCAGCTACTGACACCCTGGGCAGCCACGTCCTCCTGCTGAATCAACAGAAATGGGCCACTTAACACTAATGTCACCACTGGGAATTCCAGCCATGGTCAAGTATCCTGCCAAATATCCACTGTGCTCCAAGGGTGTTCACCACCTACATCAACTCAACAGGCAGAGTCAGGGTGGCAAGCAGCGGCCAAAAGCCTGGTTCCCTGTGTAACAGTTAATCCAGGCAATATGCCATCTTTCCCGAGTGAAGAAACAACGATGTTACATATATTAAATCACAATCAATCCACTCTACAATAGCACAACAGAAAGCACTGTTTTCAGCAGTCTGGAGGCAGTGGAGTATGACAAAGAACATAGTTTTGAAATCAGATTTGGGTTCATATTCTAGCTCTGTCATTTATATGCTGTGAGAGTTTTAGTTAATTACTTCCTAAGTTTTCATTCTAAAATAAAAATGGGATGAAACTAGTATCTAAAAGTGTGGCCTGGATTTCAGTCCGGCTCCTGAATTCTTTGGCTGTGTGAATCTGGGCAGGTTACTTCATCTCATGATGCTTAAATTTCCTATCTATGAAATGCAATTATAGTATCGACCCTGTAAGACTGTTCATAGGGTTCACTGGAAACATGTAAAGTACCTGGAACATAATAAGTGCTCAATAAGCACCAACGTTATCATTACCACTACCTGTGCAACTACCACCACCACCAGCTCCTCCTACCTCATCAAACTGTTATGATGAAGTGAGACAACAAATTTTAAAAGTTTAGAATAGTTCTTGGTACTTGTATTAACATTTCCATAATGGAAGGTTATTATTTGTAAGATATTATCTCAGTTAATTCTCATTAAAAACCCTGTGATGTAGAAACTATTCGTATGATTCCTACTCTATAGAGAGGAAGCCAAGGTTCAGAAATTAAATAACTTGCTCAAGGTCACACAGTAAGAAGCCTAAACAAAGTGGAAGGTAACGATGGGAAATGTGGGAAACGAGACTGGACTGGATGAATGGAAATTCATAATGCAGAATCCTGAAAAATCAGGTAGAGGGGTCTGCACTTGACATAATGTGCAACAGAGACACCTGTATTTTCTTAAACCAGGAGTGTGGCAAGATGATGCAAATGATGACCCAAGATTTCAAAAGCACGGACCAAACAGAGAGGTGATTTCCCAGCCAATAAATAAAGCAAAACCAACAGTGGTTCACACAGGGCTCGACCTAGGCCTTAGGTCATCAGCACAGTGATGTCAGCACTGTAATCAAATCAGCTCTGTGCTACCAGTGATCCAAATGCTACCAGTGATTCAAGCTATGATTTCACAAAAGTGCTGCTTTGCCCAAATGACCACAAACACACTCAGGTCACAGAGTATCATATTTGAAAGGAACCTAACACAGGAAGGACAATGCATAATTAGTGCATGTGATGCAGTTCATTTAAAATTGAAAATGACAAATCAAACCACATGTCATCTTTGCCTACTTAATCAGGAAATTAGCCCACTGGCTTCCTCCTATCTTTGCTTGAAATTGAGTTATAACTTAACTCCCTGTGCTCTCCAAAATAAGAGGTGTTAAGACATCCCAGGTGCACTGTTACAATTTCATTTCCAAATCATGGCCCCTTCTCTGTCATTCAGAATATTCCATGCTCTGGGAAATTTGTCCTTGGCCATTCCAAGTTACTACACCACTGAACAAATCAATATTGTAATGCAAGAATCCAAAGAACAGCCTCTGCCTCTTCCAGAACAAATATAAAGGAGGAAAACTCTCTTTCACATAAGTTTTAATGAATCTGTGTTTTCGGATCAAGAGAACAATCGATGTTTACCCAGGTACTGCATTTTGCAGACTCTGGCTGATTTATTCATTGATTTTCTTTTATCAGGAAGATAATTCTTTTAAACCCCGCTAAATATTCTCAGAATAAATGCCAATGTATGCTAGGCCTTTCTTTATTTAATAAAAGGTCAAGAGGTACCTTATCTACCTTTTATGAAGTCCTAAACGAGCTGTATGTATTGGGGAATTTTTTTTAAGGCAGTTTTTATCATTGAGAAGTGACTGTAACCACCACTAAATGACAGGTTGTTGGCAACAGGATACGGTGAAACCGGACAGACATCAACTTAATCAAGTTATCCAATTTCACAGCACCAATGATGACATGACGCATGAGAAAGACACATCCCTCAGAGTAATCCAGCCCCAAGATGTTTAATTCAAATCTATCCATGAGGATATAATCAGAGAATTCCAAATTGAGGAACAATCTTCAAAACAACTGGGTTAGATTTAGACTTTTCAAATATCAATGTCATTTGTCACGGTGCCCATGTCACAAAAAGAAGCTAAGGAAACTTCCAGAGTAAAGGAAATTAAAGAAACATGACATCTAAATGCAATGTGCAGTTCTTCACTGGATCCTGAATTGGGAGGAAAAAGAACACTATTAGGACAACTGAAGGAATGTGAGCTTACATTGTATCTTTTTTTTTTTCTTGAGACGAAGTCTTGCTCTGTTGCCCAGACTGGAGTGCAATGGCTCGATCTCGGCTCACTGAAACCTCTGCCTCCCAGGTTGAAGCAATTCTCCCACCTCAGCCTCCTGAGTAGCTGGGACTACAGGCCTGCACCACCACGGCCGGCTAATTTTTGTATTTTTAGTAGAGATGGGGTTTCACTACATTGGCCAGACTGCTCTCGAACTCCTGACCTCAAGTGATCTGCCCATCTCGGCTCCCAAAGTGCTGGGATTACAGGTATGAACCACCACGCCTGGCCTACATTGTATCTTAATAATAGTAGATATATCAGTGCTAAGTTTTCTGAGTGTGATAAGGCAATTAGAGCTACACAGAATGCCCTTTTACAAGAAGGGGTAAAATGACCTGATGTCTACAACTCTCTAATGGTTCAGTAAAGTAAGTGTGTGCACCTGTGTATGGAGAGAAAGCTCATGCCTGTGCAAAAGAAATAAGGGAATGTGGCCGGGCGCGGTGGCTCAAGCCTGTAATCCCAGCACTTTGGGAGGCCGAGATGGGCGGATCACGAGGTCAGGAGATCGAGACCATCCTGGCTAACCCGGTGAAACCCCGTCTCTACTAAAAAATACAAAAGACTGGCCGGTCGAGGTGGCGTGCGCCTGTAGTCCCAGCTACTCGGGAGGCTGAGGCAGGAGAAGGGCATAAACCCAGGAGGCGGAGCTTGCAGTGAGCTGAGATCTGGCCACTGCACTCCAGCCTGGGCGACAGAGCGAGACTCCGTCCCAAAAAAAAAAAAAAAAAAAAAAAAAAAGACATAAGGGAATGCCAGGCATGGGGGCTCACACCTGTCATCCCAGCTACTCCGGAGGCTGAGACAGGAGGAAGCTTCAGCCTGGGGTTTAGATCCAGACTGGGCTCAAGTGTCTCTAATCAAAAAAAAAAAAAAAAAAAAAGAAAGCCAGCCTGGCCAACATAGTGAAACCCTGTCTCTACTAAAAATACAAAAAAATTAGCTGGGTGTGGTGGCAGGTGCCTGTAATTCCAACTACACAGAAGGCTGAGGCAGGAGAATCACTTGAACCTGGGAGGTGGAGGTTGCAGTGAGCCGAGATCACGCCACTGCACTCCAGCCCAGGTGACAGTGCGAGACTCCGTCTCAAAAAAAAAAAGAAGAAAGGAAAGAAAGAATGGAGGGAGGAAAGGAAGGAGGGAGGCAGGGAGAAAGGAAGGAAGGAAGGAAGGAAGAGAGTAAGGGAGGGAAAAGAAAAGAGAAAAAAGGAAGTGGAGGGGAGGGGAGGGAATGAGCGGTGGGGGAGGGGAGGGAATGAGCGGCGGGGAGGGGAGGGAATGAGTGGTGGGGGAGGGGAGGGAATGAGCGGCGGGGAGGGGAGGGAAGAAAAAGGCAGCAAATGTTAACAAGTGGTGACTCCAGGTAAAGAGTATAATACAGGTATTTGTGGTACTGTTTTTGCAGCTAATTCATAGGCTTTAAAATTTTTCATGCTAAGAAGTTAAGGAATATGAAAATGTAAAACTAAAATAAAGAATGCCATAAGGTTAAAAATAAAATTACTGTAACTTATAATTGAGTATGTAAAATACATTTGCCCTAAAAGTTTTTTTTGTTTGTTTCGTTTTTTTGAGATGGAGTTTTGTTCTTGCTGCCCAGGCTGGAATGCAAAGGCCTAATCTCATCTCACTGCAACCTCCACCTCCTGGGTCCAAGTGATTTTCCTGCCTCGGCCTCCCAAGTAGCTGAGATTAACAGGCATGTCCCAGCTAATTTTGTATTTTTCGTAGAGATGGGGTTTCTCCATGTTGGTCAGGCTGGTCTCGAACTCCCAACCTCAGGTGATGCCCCCGCCCCCCACCATGGCCTCCCAAAGTGCTGGGATTACAAGCATGACCCACTGTGCCAGGCCTTCAAAAAT